AAGAGAACTATGTAATTATGGCATTTCATTCTGAGGTTGATTCTAAATCCTTAATTCATGACCTGTGAAAGACTTCTGTTATCCTTAAAGTCAATGTTAAGGCATGCCAAGTTTCCTATAAGAAAATTATTCTAACAATAGCTTTGGGTATTACAGTTCTACAATTATAAAACATTCTCCTAATACATATATAGACTTGAGTGGACATAAACTTACGCATTAACAAACATAAACTACAGGTATGCTCTTAAATGTAAGCCACAGATTATTGAAATCACTTTTACATATTTAAAAGAACATCCCCCTTTTTACAGTGTCAGTGCACAAATCAGGCAAATTATTTCCCAAGGCTTCTGACCATAAAAGTTGGAAGGAGAGAATATTATAGAGTACTATGAACCATAAAATGATATAGCTGAAAGACAATGATATGTTAATTCTCTTTCTTATGAACCCTTTTATGCTGGGAAAAGCCAGTGAGACTTCATTATAATTCTTTTCATTGTAGTCATTCTTTATGCCCAGTTCTGGGAAAGGTCAAACCCCATTACAGAGAACTGTAAGGATCTGTCTTATTCCTTTGTCACAGTGGAATCTAGCTGGTGGTATTAAATCTTGCTGAATAGGTGAGCCATTGGTGAAGGTTGTGAATCTCTTTGGTCAGACCACATTTTTGTGGTGGCAGTAATTGCCGCAATGGTATCTGACCTTCAGATTGAAAAACCTTCTCCTACTAGATATATAGAATTTTTTTTTTCCTTAACTCTAGATGACTAATCCAGGTAAGGTTTTGCATATGCCTGTCATTGCACATATGAAAGATGAAGGCTGAAATGTTTAAATGCTCTTGCTAGAATTTTTGCCTGTCACAAGAAGCAACAAAAAGTAGAGCCGCTTGGGTTCAGACCCTAATTCCTGCCATTCAGCTGGCGTAGTGCTCACTCAGTCACTACCCTTACTCTGGAGGACAAAGGGAAGGCACAAATGAATTTAGTAGGGCAGTCTCTTTGTCTAAATTTGCACCTCAAAGGACATGTGCCAGCACTGGTCCAATTGGGTCCCTAAAACAAGTAAGTATGAGAGGGAGGTATTTTCAGCTAAGATATTTTAAGTAGCCATCAAAGCATGTAATACCAGTATCAGGCAAGTATCTAAGCCCCAATAAGGAGCCTTTTATTAAAGCCATTAGGAGGATCAGGGGCACCTGGGTGGCTCAGCAGGTTGCACGTCCAACTTTGGCTCAGATCATGATCTCACGGTTCATGAGTTTGAGCCCACATTGGGCTTGCCGGTATCAGCACAGAGCCTGGCTGTCAAAGTAAAACCCACTTCGGATCCTCTGTCCCTGTCTCTCTCTGCCCCACCCCTGCTCACACTCTCTCTCTCAAAAATAAACAAACATTTAATAGATAGATAGATAGATAGATAGATAGATAGATAGATAGAAGGATTAAACTGTCCATTAGCATATAGATCCCAGTAGTAATAGAGAAAGCTTTCTTTCTGGTACTCACCCCTTTGGACCGCATTACTGAACAATGAACTGCTTTACGATTAGGAAAGTACTTTAGTTTAGTTTTTTAACACCTGATAAAAAGTTTAAGACCTAAACCACAGACCTCTGAAAAAGCTTTGCTGTTCCAGATCTAGCAATAAAAGGTTTCATGGACAATGACCAGCACCATGTTAAAAAGATAGATGTAAGGTCATAATCTCCATGTAGGATCCAAGACCAACACCATAGCTATCATCTGTTCAATGTGTGTAATATAATCACCTGATCTGCCAAAGTCCTTCTAAATAAATATATTTAGAGCCCAAAGCCTCTGTATCTGATTGGAAACAATAGTGTCTAAAGTCCAGGGCTTTTTGTTGCTTGTGTTACCAAGGCTTTAAATTCAAGTAATCCTTATCTTGAATTCAGGCACTGATAGGATCGACTAGGGCTATACAAGGGAATACTGGAGGAAAGCTGATTAAGGCAGTTATCTGAACTGTGTCAACACAGCACTATAGGAGATGTCCAGATGATTTCTGAATTGGTTCTTTTTGGAGTAATAGTCTGCCATCATATAAGTAGAGACTTGAAAGAGATGTGTCCTATATATGGACAGATTTAAATAGTGTTGAAATAAGTAAGCATTGATTACTATACTTCAATTTTAAAATTTTAAGGAAGGGAAGGAAGAAATATATTCTGACTTGTTAGGTCTTTCCTCATGCATGTCTTTTACTAATTGGGATACATATACAGATATAATAGGATGGATATATATATATATATATATATATATATATATATATATATATATACACACACATACATACATACATACACATATATCCCTTAGATCACATCAGAACTGTATGTGATTTGGTAGCACTGGAAGATTCATTAAATGTTTCCAAATGAAAAGTTCTGGCTTTTTCTCCTTTATCCAGTTTTACATTATTGAAAAACTTCCTAACACTTGATTCTCAAACTTGTCCTCCTTCATGAGCTGAAAATCAGGCTGCACATTAATTCAGTTTAGCCTGCAATTTGGCTAATTAATCATGTTTCTCCAATAAATAAAAACAAAACTCAGCTGATCCCACTTAGCTTTTAAGAACAAGCATTATTTTTTTAACGTATTTTTTTTAAAAGACACACAGCCCAGACCTACTCACTCATCCAAGGATATCATTACCTTATTGCCCCAACTTAATGTATGGTGGGGCCCAAGCAGGTTTGAATCTGATAATTTATAAACCTTCAAAATATTGAATTTATACTTCCAGTAAGCCAACTTCAGCATAAACCGTGACATGAGAATCACAATAAAACAAAAACTTTTTTCAAAAAGCACGATGAAACAGCAATAGAAAACAAAAATCACGTTTATGATGTTTCAATTATTTCCAAGTCAGTTAATAGCCTGTTATATAGAATAAGGTAATTCAGCTACATCTAGCTTCCTCTGATGTCCACGTAAGTTCTCATTTTTACCTAATAATTCTTTCACATGCCTGCCCTCTCTATTTTTACTATCTTCTGATCTTACCTTTTTGATTTTCATCTTAACCCTTAGTAACACACAGTGTACCTAACTCATCAAATCAATCTCTGACATCAACAGGAGCTCATTCACATAAACATCCTGACTCACACACTCTGCCAGCCAAAGTCACCCACATATTCCAGTCCTCAATAACAACAAAAACTTCAGGCATTAGAATTAGGCTTTAGAATCAATAAAGAAATCATGTTCTCACTTACCCATCTCTGCCCTCCCACCCCAAATTCCAAGTTCCAGCCCTTTGTAAGATCCTGGTAATGCACTAATGGAAGTTAAAAGAGCTCTTGCAGTGGGAGGATGGAAACACCTCAAAGATTAATTGCAAAATGCAAGCTATTTGAGGCTCCATTTCCTACCCCTTCCCGAACCATAACTATACGGAGACAGTGTGTTAGTGTGGACACTGGGTGTGTGTTTTGCAAAGTTGTGACCACTTCGCCCATCGTGCCTCTCACAGAGCAAGTGTAAACATCATGAGGCAAGGCATCACAGTTTCCGAGGGCCTGGATGAGGAACGGAGAGAGACACTTAGACCATGTTAGGAGGAGGCGAGTTTTCGTGAGGATGCAGTTCCCACTGAATCAGTTTCCTCTCTCTTTGTCACTCTTATCTTTTAATTTTTTGGCTGTGGGCTTAAGGACTGCTTCCATTCTGGGGCAATGGTTTGTTGCTTTGCCAAGAGTAAGTGATACCAATTTCTAAATGTTTCTAACAGTCTAGCTGCAATTGTATTGGAAATTTTCTCCAAACAATAACAAAATGTCACCTGGGTGTGTCTGAGCTAATCATGGCTCTGACCTGCCTAGAGGTTTATATGTCTGGAAATATATTAAAAATGTCTAATGCTTTACCTCTCTGGTGTGAGAACCAGGAGACTTCAAGAGCCCGGGTAACCTGTGGGATAGCTAAACCACAAACAGAAAATAAAATTTATGTAAGCAATTAATTTTACTGTACCTAGAAAATGGGCATGCAACACCAGCTCATATCTGGCACTAACATTCTGGGTTAAATTCAGATTGGTCTAATAATGATTTATATATTTTTCTTTTCCTAGAAAGTTTATTCTAATGATTTAGTTACCACTTCTGAGTACAGGAATGATTATAAATACAACATATATATTCTTGCATTTTTAAAATAATCAACATCCTCAAGCTTCAAAATATTCAAATTCAAAACCCTATATTTTAACGTTCAGCCAAATTAGAGGAAGAAAAAATTTAGCAAGAGAATGGATAAGCACCTTTGAGAATTAAATGTAAGCCTTATTGTGTGATTAGTGCTTAGGTTCTTTTTCACAAAATAAGTTACTAATTGATCCTACTGTGTGCAGGACTTCTTAATGTCCAAAGAATACCCCATACCATGTTAAAAAATCATTTGTACGCTGGTTGTTAGAAATATTTTGCTATAGAAACAGAAGCTGATGGCCATTATAGATTAATTAATCTCAGCTCTTTACAAGGACAGGTGTAGCTGGTTGTAGTTTCTTAATGCATCTTAACACAGCTTTTCTTGTAAATAAAAAATACATATAGAACAAAAACAGGGGCGCCTGGGTGGCGCAGTCGGTTAAGCGTCCGACTTCAGCCAGGTCACGATCTCGCGGTCCGTGAGTTCGAGCCCGGCGTCGGGCTCTGTCTGGGCTGATGGCTCGAGCCTGGAGCCTGTTTCTGATTCTGTGTCTCCCTCTCTCTCTGCCCCTCCCCCGTTCATGCTCTGTCTCTCTCTGTCCCAAAAAATAAATAAATGTTGAAAAAAAAAATGAAAAAAAAAAATAAAAAAAATAAAAGAACAAAAACACTCACTGGCTGTTGGTTTGTGAAATGAGCATTTCCTGACAAGCAAATAAACTGCACTGTTAATAAGAAAAGTGGTTGGTTGGTTTGTTTTCACAGAAAATGCTAACACAGACCCTCAAGAAGTTCACAACCAGAATTAACTCTGTACATCAAGAGCGTCTTCTTCTACCAAGGACAGTTCCAGGGTGTTTTCATTCGTGCCGGTTTTCATCCTGAAGTTGAAAGAACCGTAGAGTTTTGCAGACTCTTTGGAAGAGGCAAACCTGTTGCGACGATATAGCTCCCCCTTCCACATAGACATCATCAGCAAACAGGACAGAACGACCCCCCCAAGAGTGAGCAGGCAGAGTCCCGCAATCACACAGCGATCCAGGTGAGCCCCCAACCTTGCGCTCTCCTTCTCCAAGCGTTCCATCTCCCGGGCCGCCACGGTGTTGGGATCCACAGTCACTTCCCGTGGAACAATGTAAGAGATGATCACCAGCAAGATGCCAGTGACCAAGAACAAGATGGCACTGATGAAACCATAGTCAACTGACCTCCCTGAAGATGTGGCTTCCGAACTTACATCATCCTCATCTTCGGATATCAAGGATACGGCAGCCTCATGGGACCACTCGTTTGGATTTCCCCAGCCAACGTCTCCCAGGTGATTGCTCCCTTTTGCTGAAGGGGAGCATCGGTTCCTTTGCTCTAAGTTGACATTCTCATCCACACAGGTAAAAGAAGTTTCTAATTCCTGGCTGCAGCAGTTGCAGACTTTCCGCCCTGCTGTTATTTGGTTGTTCCCTGAGTTGAGAGGTCCTGGTGGCAAGGAGTCTGTCTGAATAACTCTGTCTTGCAAAGAGGAGGAGGGGGATGCTGGAGAAGGACTAAGTTTAGATCCTTCAATCTCAGCTGCTTTTGGTGTTGACGTACAGTGTCTCTGGCAGCAGAGAGCAGCTTTGATGGCTGCTGCATCTGCCTGGCCATCAGGAGGGCCTCCTGAATGCCAGTCCCCAGCATCGCACAGGACAGCCTGGCTGCTCTTCTTAGCAAGGGAGTGGAGCTCCATCGGAGCTAGTCAGACATCCCCCAGCAGCTTCTGAGAATTCTGCCAACAGCAACACAGATAAGAACCCAACAAGAGCTAAGGCTGCACTACCAAGAGTATCGCTCCTGAGGTCCCCATCTCCTTTTCAGCCACAACTGTAGACACCTCAGCCCCAATTCCTCTAAAAGGAGTAAAAGAAAGGAGAGGATACCTAGTGGCAAGAAAGTATGAAGAGGGCAAATCCTCTGACTTATCACCAGGATTAACACTGAGAAACTTAGGTCAGGGTAGAAAAGAAGCACAGAGGAAGTAGCAGTGTCTCTGAAGAAAGCATTGCCGTCACCAAGCCAAATTTATCCAAGGACTCACACATTACTGTGACAGGATCCCTCAAATAAGAAGGCAAGTTTCCTGTAGAGAGACACAAATGAGAAAGGCAGGGACCTTTTTTAGCAGAGCCGCGATTTTCTGGAGAACCTGGGGAAGCACACACTTCTCAATAATTCAGTTAAATTACGTTTACACTATCTTTGTTCAGAACAGATTCTAATACAGATTAGCTTTACAGCATCACCATGGACGAACAAATATGTCATCATCAGCTGGGCTTTATTGGAACTGGGGCTCAGCATTTTGATTGAGTAGCTGAAGTGGGTAAAAGATGGCTGGTTTAATCAGCCACCTTTCTTAAACTTACACCTCATACATCCAATGACCTTAGTCAACCAGCCCTGTATTTTCAAGACCCTTGCTTGTTCGTTGTGCTTTCTTTCTCAGCCCTTGTGGCTACATGACACCAGCTTGTTATGGACCCAGAAGTATGCAGACAACATGCCTTAACTGTGTGACCCCTGCCAAATACGAGGGGCCAGCCCACTCCACACCCTTCCCCCCAACACACCTACCTGCTCTGGGTACAGGTCTGCTACTCTTGCTCACTGTGTCTGAATGGGTCTGAGTTCATCTCCCTCTGCCTACTTTGCTAAGAAACATGCATGCCAAATTGACCATCTGAAAGTTTTTATTTAGAAGTAAACTGACAGTAAAAGACAAATTATAAACCCACAGAGTCAACAGTTTGTGAGGTAAGCAGGTGAGAAGTTATTTCCAAAGTTCCAAAATTACGTTTGGCACTTTGTATCCATGACATGCCCTTACCCCCACCACAGCACGGGACCTTTCTGTGATAGAACTTTGGGTTGAGCAGAAAACTGCCTATCTTTCTCTGCTTCTACCATCCTTTGCAGGATAGACTCCCTTTTCACTGTCACCAAGTACAGCAGTTTCAAGCAAAGGCCCTCTTTATTTTGCTTTCCAGTAATAATTGATTTAAACCATGGTTTGTGGGTTTATTATGCTCACAATCTACAGCTCCAACACCTGGTTACCCACACAGATGCACAAGTAAGGCTCACCTAATGGTCTACCTGGCAACTCACTTAAAATACGGGAGAGGAAATCCACATCCTTGCTGCTCTACGTTACAGTTTGTTTTGTTTTTAAAAAAACCACTTCTCTCCTACTACCAAAGTTTCTCTGTAGCTAAAACAGAAAAACAAAACAAAATACAAAAAGACCAAATGCAAAAAACATTCAAGTGAACCAGAACTTTCCTTTAGCAAGTGGATACGGATCTCTACAGCTGGATCCCTCCAGGAAGGAAGTGGTGACAATGTATTTGATCAATTCCTGAAATGAAAAATCATCTCGCTGTGCCCTCAGACATGAGGTTCTCTGATTAACTTTTGGCACGATTAACTCATCATATTGGGCTTTTTTTTTTTTTTTTTTTTTTTTTTTTTTGATTAAAATGGGCAGAGCCCCTCATGAGACTTCCCATTTATAACAGAGGGAATGAAATCTCCACTTAATTCCCGTCTCCTGCTTCCCTCTCTCTTTAAAGAAAAGATAGACTCTGCTTGTTCCATCAGAGATATACTAGCTGCACAGTCGATTCCCTTTGCAGCTCCGTAATCCGGGGCTTCCATCCTCAGTAGAGAAAGGATAATCCCATGGGACCAGCTAAAGGCTCTTTCCTTCCGTCTCCTGCCTCTCCGTCTCTCTGGTTAAGAGCGCGGTTAATGAAATTGCACCTCAAAGCGAGGGGACAGCACTTTGCCTCCTCCGTCTGCCATTAACTAAACATTAACATCTGCATTGGAACTAACTAATACGGGCGAGGCTGATCTGGGGAAGCGACCTCGGGATCCGTCCAGCGCTCACTGTGCGAGAAGAGCGCGCAGCAAGCTCCGGGAAGCGATGCTCCCTGCGAGATCAATCCATCCATTCCGGGTGAACCTCAGGGCGCCCAGAGTCCGGCTGCGTTCGCCAAATACCCCGAGGCGAGGCAAGCAAGCACCTAGGGCAGGGAGTGGGGACGCGCTCCGCTGCTCCGCCAGGCTCCCGGGGTGGGGGGGGTCTCTCCCTCGCCCCAGCGCCTCCTCCCGGTCCCACTCTCCGTCACTCACCCCTGCTTTGACCACCACGTGCGGCTGGAGCACCGCGCGCCTGTTCCTGCGCGGCTCCACGGGAAAGTCTTCCGATTACCAGCCGTGGCACTTGTAGCCTCAGCGCGCCGCTGGGCTCCACGGGGTGGGCAGCGCCTGCTGTGCCGGTTGGGAGGGGCGGGGCGGGGCACTTCTTCTTGCTGAGCATCCCGGGAGTTGTAGTCCAGGGGCAGTCTCCATCCGTGACCTACCCCCACCCCGTTCTCTCTCACTCCTGACTTTTGCCCTTCCTGAAGACATTCCCGCTATACCTTCAGACTCCTGATTGGCTCTTTGGAAGAAATCGCTGTGTCCTAAACTCAAGGTTGGGTCCTTCAGCCTCAGGTAGGGCTGTAGGATTATGGGGGAAGGAGTGTATATTTAGTTCCAACCCTGTGCCAGGCAGTATGCATCTTTTGGCTTATTTAATAGAACAGATCTTCGAAGTAGATTTTATTAATCCTCATTCTACAGATGAGGAAAGAGGCTCAGAGGAATTGTTTCATCCAAGATTACAAAGACAATAAATGGTACCTAATAAATTTTATTCAGCAATGTATTTCCAAAGTCATTGCCTTGCCCACAAAATCAGGAGAAATATGACCGTTGAGGGTAAGGGATTGTTCTTTTTGCCTATGCATCCTCTGTGCCTAGCCAAATGTCTGATATCTGTTGAATTATGAATAGTAATGACCTAAAGTAGCAGAAATTAACATAAATAACACTTATTACTGCCATGTTCTCTTGTGATTATTTCAGATACATTAACTTATTTAATATTCACAATTAATTTTTAGAGTCCTACAAAAAAATTATCATTTTTACAGGAGAGGAAACTGAATTACAAAGAAGCTGAGTAATTTGTTCGAAGTTGTAAACTTGATACTCAGCAGAGGTGGTGCATGAACTCCAAAAGGTTCTAAGCATTATGCAACTTGAATGAATGGAAGAAAGACCAAAAGGTAAGAAAAGAAAGTGTTGGGAATAAAGGAAATCTGTAGGTGAAGCTACTGAGTTATGACTTTCAAGATAGAGCAGAGTAACTTCTTTGGATCACCCACCTTTGTAACCATAGTAGATTGCAGCAGCCAACAGCCAAAAGGAATGTGTGGTTTGTGGATCATCTCTCAAGTTTTCGGAGTCACCTTTGGGACTATTGTAGGGTTATTGATTGTTTTCATCTAAGGGAAGCAAAAGAATGGCTGTAATGTAACTTTTTGCTACTTGTGAGTAGCTCACATAAACTGTGGTTGCTTGCTTTCAAGTGAGAAGTAAATCTCCTATAATGACAGTTTTGTTGGTTTTCCTTTATAGTGATCGAATCCATAGTATCATAGTTCCAGGGACTTCACAATCCAGCCACTTTAAGATCTTTTTTCCCCATGACTCCCTTTTAGCCGGTTAGGCCCATTTGTTGATAAGCATGCCTTGTGTATTTGTGGTTTCTTCTCCGTTGCTTATTACACTTTTTTCCAGTGAGAATATCCTTCTTTCAATCCCCTATTCTTTCCACTCTTTGAGGACTATCTCCTCAAACCACACCTGCAGGGATACATACTGTTTTTAGTACTTCACATTTAAAAGGGGAACACAAAGGCACCATAGGATCTCGAGAAGACAGCAACTGAGAAGTGGAAGAAACTTAAACGCACATTGGACAGGCAGACACTGAAGGAACTTGGGATATTTAGTCAGAAGAGACTTAGAGGACACAAAAACTAGCTTTAAATAATTTGAGGTTTGTGAAAAGGAAGAGGTTAAAGGGGTAAAAGCAGAACCAATGACAATAATAGTAGTATTTATTATTCCTAATGTGTTCTCATCTTTAATTCCTACACCAGCTCTATAAGGGAACATGTATTATTGTACCCATTTTGCAGTGTAGAAACCGAGAAGTGAAAAGTGGAGTCTCTGTCCCAAGATTTCAGAACTAATAACTGACAGAGCCAAGATTCTAACTTGGGTCTGTCTGATTCCAGGACCCGGATCTCTTCACCACCACACTATACTGAGCAATGCTTCACAGCACAGCATACATAAGAGGTGATAGTATTTACTGCACTGGGATAAACATAAGAGGTTTCTCAGGGCCATAGTTCTGGGGCTATGGCTCCTTCAGGCCCTGCAAAACAGCTAGAAAGGCCAAGGGAACAAATAAGCCAGCACGTCTATAATACAATGGAGCACCTGAGGATGGCAGACACAGGGACTGAGAAGTTTTGGGTAGCACTATCACATTTAACAAGAGGGTTGATTTGGGGCTGATTATAAGGAATAACATTCTCTCCAGGAACTTGAAATAGGGTGTCTCATGAAAGTGAATTCTGTATTACTGGAGAGGATGAAGGAAGAACCATTTATTAGTGATGTCATGGAAGACATTCATCCAGTTGGATTAGAGGACCTCTATAGTTTCCCTACCATAGATATAAAAGTTACATCACTTTTATGAATCCCTTTTCCTCCAAACCAGCCCGCCAAAGATTCTGCCTCCTATGAGCTTTACTAAGACTTGTCAGCCCTGATTTTTTTTTT